GCAGGTCAACGCGTTCGCGATTGGGAGGATGCGAACGCGAAGGAGAAACACTGGGGGGGGGGGTCCAGGATTTGATCTACGCGAACGCGTGAAAGCCCACGCGAACGCGCTGAAGAAAGCTGCAAGGCTACGCGTTCGCGAACAGTTGAATGCGAATGCGAAGAGGAAAATACTGGGGTCCCAAATTTGGCTTACGCGAACGCGAGATGTTGTACGCGAACGCGATGAAGGAAATTCTGATGCTTTGCGAACNATACCCAAGGCATCACTGGGCATAGCCAAGTAGGAAGCAAAATGAGACGACACATATGAATACGTAGACCCAGGGTCAAATAGCACTGAAGCATCCCTGTCACAGACCAGAATAGTACCTGTAATAACTGCATCGGAAGACTCAGCCTCTGGCCTGGCTGGCAAAGCATAACACCGGGGCTGGGCCCCACCTCCCTAAACTGCATCTCTAGGACGATCAACCACTGGCTGTCCTCTGCCTCTGCCGGTCCGAGCTCCACCTCTACGGTCCCTGCCTCCACCTCTATGATCCCTGCCCCCGCCTCTAGCTGGCTGGGCGGGCTGTGGATCACCTGCTGCCTGAATCGTGGGGCGAGGACCCTGCTGCTGAGAGCTGCCCGATGCTCGAGGGCAAAACCTGACAATGTGACCGGGGTCACCACAACCATAACAAGACCTCGGCTGCTGCAACTGCTGGCCCTGTCGACCAGAATGTCCTCCCCTGAAGCTCTGAAGTGGGGGTGCACTGATAGGCTGTTGATCTGAATAATACTGCTGAGAACCTCCGCTGCCTGGAGCACCATGATAAACCTGAAGCGCAGACTGAAAGGGCCTTGGTGCTTGGCCTCTACCATAGGAATCCCTACCTCCAGATGAGGTACCACTGAATCTACCAGTATCACGAGGCCTCTTGTCCGACATCTGACCACCTCCCCGAGTGAGGGCCATCTCAACTTTGCGGGCCGCATTGGCCGCCTCCTGGAAAGAGATATCACTACCAACTCCCATGGCCATCTGAAGACGGATCGGCTGAATCAATCCATCAATAACTCTCCGGACCCTCTCTCGCTCTGTAGGGAGTATCACAACTGCATGGCGTGCCAGGTCGATAAATCTAGTCTCATACTGTGTAACTGTCATGGAGCCCTGCTGGAGGCGCTCAAACTGCCTACAAAGTGCCTCCCGCTGAGTGACGGGGAGAAACTTCTCCAAGAATATCCCCGCGAACTGATCCCATGTCAAAGCTGGAGACCCTGCTGGTCTAGATAGGCAAAAATCTCTCCACCAGGTCTTGGCGGACCCTGCAAGCCTGAAGGTGCAAAAATCGACCCCGTTGGTCTCCACTATACCCATAGTCCTGAGAATCTCATGAGAACTGAATAGAAAATCCTGGGGATCCTCTGATGAAGCACCGCTGAAAGTGGTGGTGAAGAGCTTGGAGAACCGATCAAGTCTCCACAAAGCATCCGAAGACATGGCCGCTCCATCACCGGCCTAAGCTGTAATACCTGGCTGAGCTGTCGCAGCTAGCTGAACCACTGGGGCATGAGTCTGTGGAGCTACCTGCTCCGGAGTGCGCGTAGCAGGAGTCTGAACCCCTCCTCCAGCCTGAGAAGTGGCTGGTGCTACTGGCAGCAAACCCGCTCTAGCAACACTATCCATAAAGCCTGCCAACCTGACTAGAGCATCCTGAAGGTCTAGGGTGAACATGACCTCTCCTTCTGAAACTGGATCACGAACTCTCGTAACAGTTCGGATTCTCCTTGGGTGATTCTAAATATATCCGCCTTTCTAGCATGGACCTTTTTTGCCCCCTACATGAGCTTTAATGAAAAAATCTGCAAGTATTTCAAAAGAATCAATTGAATGCTCAGGTAAAAGATAATACCAAGTTAAAGCACACTTCGTTAGGGTTTCGCCAATTTTTTTTCAAAAAAAAAACAATTTGATCTCGTGCGGGTCCAAGTCATTTCCCCTTACAACTATAGTGTAAGTTGTGATATGCTCTTGTGAATCCGAAGTCCCATCATACTTCGGGATATCTGTCATCTTGAATTTTTTTTGAATCAATTCCAGGGCCGCACTTGGTTTGAGTGGCAACTGTGTACATTTCTTGGAATCTGGTCCCTTCAACACTAGTGGTGCTCCCGCGATCTGATCCATCCGAGCATGGAATTCTTTAGCGGTTTGGTCCATTTGTTCATTCATCTCCCTAAAGGATTATTAACGTTCTTGTCGTTCCTGGATCCACTCATGTACCACCTGCCTCGTTAAAACCCGAACTCTTCTCTTGGAGCTACGATTACCGGTTCTTTGAACTGTTTGATTTGTAGCGACGCGGAGAAGAATCCGAACTCCTNAAAATAGCAATCAAGACCTCTAACACCGCCTTTACCTCTAGAAATTCGACTCCGTAAAACAATGATTATCTAGTCATAATTAATTCAATAATATCAAATGAGGCTCAACAACATAATCCCATAGCCTAGAAATGAATTTCCTACCATTCTTTCAAAAATAGCAAAATCTGACACCGGGCCCACATGGTCCAAACTCGAGGCTCGGACCAAATTCCAATCACCCATAACCCCACGAGTTCAAATATATAATTTGTTTCAAGATCCGACCCCAAATTGAGGTTGAATCGCCCAAAATTTTCAAAAACCTAACTCTACCCATTTCCCCCAATTTCTACCCTAAATTATATGTTTTAGGCTTAGGAATTCAACAAATATTGATGGAAAATGAAGAAACGAGTTAAGATTTACTAACCCAAGAAGTTTTGGAGAAAGGGAGCTTCAATGGACGCCTAAAGACCTTGGAGAAGAAGGAGCTCGTGTGTTTTCATGAAATTCCCGTAACTACACTGTTCTGGAAATTAAAAATATAACTGGGCAAAATTGCCCTTCGCGTTCGCGGGAAGAGGGCCGCGTTCGCGAAGGGTAACTGGGCAGGTCAACGCGTTCGCGATTGGGAGGATGCGAACGCGAAGGAGAAACACTGGGGGGGCGTGAAAGCCCACGCGAACGCGCTGAAGAAAGCTGCAAGGCTACGCGTTCGCGAACAGTTGAATGCGAACGCGAAGAGGAAAATACTGGGGTCCCAAATTTTGCTTACGCGAACGCGAGATGTTGTACGTGAACGCGATGAAGGAAATTCTGATGCTTCGCGAACGCGGGAGAGAGAGTGCGATCGCGAAGAAGGAAATGACTGGGCACCTGTTGCAGACTTTTCTGCAACTTTTCTAAGTTTTAAAACCTCCCGGAACACCTCCGAAACACTCCCGAGGCCCTCGGGGCTCCCAACCAAACACACACACTAACTCGATATCATCCTACGAACTTGCTCGAGCGATCAAATCGCTAAAATAACATCAAAATCAAAGAATCAACCCCCAAAACTCATAATTTTCATTTCAAAGTTCATAAACCTTCAACTTTAGCTATTTAGGTCCGAAACACGTCAAACGACGTCCGATTTTGACCAAATTTCACAGGAAGCGCTTAACGCATATTTAAGACCTGTACCGGGCGTCGGAACCAAAATACGAGCCCGATACCTATATTTTCTAACTCATTTTTATTTCCATTTTTCCTTATTAATTTCAGAAAATAATTTATCAGAAAAATTCTTTTACCGGGGTTCTGGACCTCGGATTTCGACTCCCATATTTTTCTACGGACCTCCCGGGACCGTCACATCACGGGTCCGGGTCCGTTTACCCAAAATATTGACCAAAGTCAACTATATCAATATTAATATCATAATTCACCTAATTTTTTACAGAATTCATATATTTTAACATAAAAATTTTCCGGCTTCGCGCCCGGAACGCAAATCGAGGCAACCAAAATTGAGGTTTCCAAGGCCTCGGAAGCGCGGAAAAAAGGAGAACCACGGTGATGACCCTTTGGGTCGTCACAAATATGAATGTAAATAAAAACAAAAATAAGATTTTTAAAATAACTTGAAAAAAATACAAGCTTGGCTGTGAATTGATCTTCTCCGGAAGCACTAATAAGAGCAATATTAAGAACAAAAGAAAGAGAGGATTTTTATGTATAGTAAGAACAAATTGTAGTCGTTGAGTACATATGATTTTTTCATGTTCCATTATGTATACAAGTTCTCTTATTTATAACTCTATTGGGGAGATAAGATCCCTAAAGTAAGCTCTTCTTGACTGAGAATAAAATCCCTATTGATGGTTGCATAACGGTTGAACAATAATACATAAATTCTTTGTAACGTCTACTCGTTGAATGTTGTCTTTTCCAGTCGACGCCTTCCTTTCAAATCATCATTCCCGGTTCCAATGCCTTCGGAACTTGTTCTGCACCGGTCACATATCTGTATCCGGTGCCAACTATTTACTGGCTCATATCTTATCTATCTCTAGTTATACGTGTCATTTCGTCATTCATCCATCTCTCGCTAACCAATTTTACTCCATACACCTCGTACATTGTTGGTGAGTGTGTTAAAACTAATCCTTATTTGTTGTTGGTGAGCGAGTGAAAACCAACCTTGTAAAAGTTGGTGATGAATGTTGAAAACCACAAATGTTGTACTCAAACTATATTACAAAGAGCTCATAGAGATAACCTCATTGCAACAAATATAAAAAAAATTTGCGTCATTTATCTTATCACTCTTATATTACATTATGCCTTATACTGTTTGTTGTGCTTTGAACTTGTTTAATTAAAAAGACTAATAATTTTGTGTAGGTTGTCTCCGTCTAGTAGATAATTTACTAGCATACAATTTTTCCCCTCTTGTACTTTCAGCTACCACATGAAAAACTGATAACAAGAGAACTCAGTGAAAAATATTAGGTAATAGGGGGGAAAAAAGGTAAAGTGGGTGTTACTCCCCCAAAGGAAGAAATCAGTTTAGGTTTTGTGACCTTTCACTCCAATTATGTACAAAGGCTTGTCATAACTTGCAATAGAAAATGTTATCGTGTCACAAGTCTTCTAAAGATATGGGTGAAGAAAACTTTCCATTCCAATTATGTGGCACTCGTGAGAGTACATATCAGGCCTTGGCCTAAATGGCCTTCGTAAATCATACAACATTAGAATAACGCGTAAATTTTCACAATATGATGAACTGACAAAGAGAAGAAAAAACATAAAGAGAGTGAAATTATGCCCCGCTAAACTCCAATAAACTTGAATTAAATTACATCAACAACTTTATAAGATTGATCAGAATCATGAATTGATTGTTGTTCGTTGGAAATACGCTTGCAGTTGTTCCTAATGGCGGTCAACCCATCTGGGTAATGACCGGCACTGAGCCACGTCTCCACGGTGAACACCTGTTGGCTGCATCGTTTGTGTTCTGCTGTAGACGTGACTTCCACGTAGTTACAGTACCATCCGTGGTGATCACCTGATCCATCGGAAGTCAAGTTCATTTTACAGATTGGTCCAGTCAAACACGGACCACGGCCCGTAAACATATCCAATTGGTCCATTTCAAAGTATTCGTAACCTGGGCCCATAAGCCCACCCCAAGCTTGTAGGTTATTGATTCTAAGGCCATGTCCAGTGGCATCATAAAGAGACAAGGTAATTTTTGAGTCAGTTCCAGACCCCCAGTATGTCCCAGTCCGAACATAAGCTGTGTATACACAATTTAGTTCCTGCATTTTCCCATCAAATCAGCAATTGCAAAATAAAAAACATTATGGTACACAGTGACAAATTTATAGCCATAGATCCCAAATTTATTTTGAAAAATCTAATTTGGGTGTAGTTTGGTTTGAATATGAAAATGTGTTTGGACATATGTTTTCAAAACATATTTCCCAACATTATTTTGGAAAAACATGTATATAATTCTCAAGTTTTGAGATTTTGGCCCAAAATCAGCAATTGGGGTGATTTTGGGATTTGGGATTTTGCCAAAATATGGGCAAAATTTATGGCCGAACATGAATTTTGAAAATAAATTCCAAATTTATTTTGGCAAAACTCATGGCCAAACGGGCCCTTAGAATCAATGTGTTGTATTCTTACTCATATTTGTTTCTTTTCTTACATATAAGGTAGTAATTAGGAAGTAGACGCAGTAAGTTCGACCCTTCTCCGGACCCGCGTATAACGGGAGTTTAGTGCACCGGGCTGCCCTTTTTTACACAGTGAGTTCGACATAATCCACTGCATCTACTCTAAATCCGTCAACGTACGTAGAAGTAGAGAAGGGTGACTTACAGTGCCAGAAATGGAAGAAACGGAGATGGAGAAGAGGATGACAAGATGCAACCAAAATTGGTTAACTCGTGCCACTCCCATGGCAGCTTCTTGAACTCTCGCTCTGTCTTGTTGTTTCTTTCTCTAGAAAATGAGAGGAAAAAGGCAAGAGCTTTTGAGATAGTGGGAATGATAGTATCATAGTAGTTTTATTTATAGATTATATCAAAGTTCATAGGGGACAATAGTATATTGAGAGTTATAAGGTCAAAATTATAAGGCAGTAGGCCTACCCGTGAGCCACACTATAATTGTCCTAGTGGAAGAATAAATTAATTGGAGTAAAAAACTTTGACTCATGGCGGCTAATTCGAGCTGCAAGGTATATACCAGACGTATTGTTGACTTATTTATAATAAATATGTACACTTGCGCCTCTCCGTTCTATCCTAAAATGATTATCGCACTTCTATATTGTAAAGTGAAGCCAAACTTCAAATCTGCTCAGAAGCCGCCATGAGAGAGAAACATGCATGCATGCACCCACCTAGTTATATTTACAGGAAAAACACGAAAAATATAAAGAAAAAATGAAGAGAAATTATTTGGGAAATCCCACCATCTCCTCTTGCTCAACATAAAAGGAAGAACCACGAAAGGAATGCGTTTTGTTTTTCTTTTAAAACTAATATATTGATCCCATACTCTTTACAGCTGGCAGTTCGAGTTATTAGCCGCCATGAATCTAATTTTATTCATCCACTCTCAATATAATATCGTCTCCTCTAAGCTTTTACCCATTATAAATAAACTATATATACGTATCATACTATCACTTCCATTATCTCAAAATCATTTTCCTTTATCCTCTCATTTCTAGAGAAAGAAACATATTCTCTTGCACAAGTAGCCGCCATGGGAGTAGCTCATCAAGTTAACCAATTCTGGTTCCCTCTTATTATCCTCCTCCTCTCCATTACCATTTCTTCTATTTCTGGAGCTGTAAGTCATCCCTCTATATATGTGTATTTACACACATGCATAGTGTAACTTTTTGCTTCTAGAGAATCAATTTGACTAGTTTTTGAAGCTAAATTAGATTAGATCACCTCAGTATTTTAAAATAATATTTTTATGTTCGAACTATACAAAAATTATTGTAAGTTACAATTTATCTAATGTCAATTTTATAAAAAATACATTTTAAAATATTGATCATAGTTTGAGTCTCAAGAAGAGAAAAGTACCACATAAAGCAACAGAATCTGCTACTTTGTCACAGTCCTAGAATACCCTCATGTTTTTTCATTTTGTATTTGCATTTTGCTCTTGCTGATTTAATAGGAAAATGCAGGAATCAAATTGTGTGTACACAGCTTACATTCGGACTGGGCAATTCATGGAGGATGCAACAGACTCAAAAATAAGCTTGACTCTCTACGATGCGAGTGGCTATGGAATTAGAATCAAGAACCTAGTGGCTTGGGGTGGGCTTATGGGTCCAGGGTACAACTACTTTGAAACGGACCACTCGGATATGTTCAGTGGCCATGGACCATGTTTGACTGGGCCGATCTGCAAAATGGTCTTGACTTCTGATGGTACAGGCCGACAGCCCGCATGGTACTGTAACTACGTGGAAGTCACCTCAACAGGAGACCACAAACAATGCAGTCAACAGCTCTTCAACGTGGATCAATGGCTTAGCACCGATCGTTCGCCGTATCAGTTGACGGCCACAAGAAACAACTGTAGGCGTACGTCCTGTGACCAACAACCCATTGTTATTGATGTAATTTAATTCGACTTCATTGGGCTACTTAATTACAAAGTATATATAGAATTTCTCTCCTTCTCTCTTTGTATCTCTCTTTAAGCAATTATATACCAGTGTGTGGAAATTTTAGCATCAATCTAATGTTGTGAAGCCCATTTAGGCCAAGGCCTGATGTGTACGCTCATGAATGCAACATTCTGGAAAATAAAGAATCGGTCCCTGTTTTTCTTACCTAATAATTTCATGTCTTACTGTTTCTTTATTCATCCAACCACCGATAGAAACAAAACTTTGAGTACAAAATAATTTTTATTATGAAATAAAAGTAAATTAGTAAATTATAAATAAGAAACGGAGAGAGAAAGAAGGAAGTTTTTCACATCTTCTCGTGTGTCTTTCCATTGCCATTTACACAGCCTTTTATCTATATCTATATTATATTAAAAGCATGAACTCCTCAATGTAAAAGTTAAATTACCATTTTACCCCTTTTAAATACTCCCTTCGTTTCATATTAGATGAAATACTTTCCTTTTTAGTCTGTTCCAAAACAAGCGACACATTTCTAAATTTGGAAATAATTCAACTTTAAACTCTTTCATTTTACCCATTTACCCTTAACGAGAAGCTTTTATAGCCACACAAATGTCATGGCCTCACAAACTTTTTACCCCTTAAACTTTTAAGATCACAAGTTTCAAAAGTCTTCTTCTTTTTTCTTAAACTCTGTGCCGAGTCAAACTACCTCATTTAATATGAAACGGAGGGAGTACTTAATTATACTAACTAAGAAGAAAAGCCTAAAGCAACTAATGAAAGGTAAGGTTGCAACGATTGATTACATTATGATGGGTTATTAAAGTTGCAACGATTGATGACATTACAATGGGTCATTGAAATTGCATAAGTACCTTTTGGATTATAGAAAAGTCTTTCGATATAAAACTGACATAATAGAGTCAGGATCAAGGGGAAAAACAACAGTCAACAAGATGGAATTTACAAGAATGTTATGGTAAATCTGTAAGAATTAGTTTCATTGCTAGATTCTACCACAAGCTATTACTTTCCTCATTATTCCTGAAATGATGCATTACTTTCCTTCCTTTACTCACTTTTATGCTGACTTTCTTTTAATTATTTTGCTTTCCAAGTTCTCTGTGATTTGTCCTCTATATTCTGGATTTAGAACCTGAAGTTAAAAGCGCACAAACAATTCTTCACGTTGCTCTCTGCATAGAATGTACTGTTGGAGTACGAAAAGATGAGTGGAGTACTATATCAATAATAGACATAGGGCAAACAGATTGTGTCGATAGCGTTTAATTTATCTTATATCACATGAGGTGGGATGGATAGGATCCCTCCACCCTTAACCAGAGGTCTCGGGTTTGAGCCATAGGTATGGAAAAAATCTCATTAGGGAGCGCTTCCCCTTGAATGGGTTTTACCCGGCTCGAATTCGAATATAGTCGAGCTCCAATGCAAGTATCGACACCGGTTTGATAAGATCCAACCAAAAAACGAGAGTTTTATTTTACATTTTACGAGTCACATAGTCATTTTCTCTGACACTAGACTTCTCGAAAAGAATTTATCGAATCTTTTTAATTTATACTTTAATTCATATTTTAGTTTATGTGCCTTTAGTTTTTCTTTCTTAAATTTTTAGTCCAATCGACATAATCCAAAGAAATTGTCGATAGAGTTCTGCTTTACTTTTTTGTGAGTTAAATCGTCGTTTTCTTTGACAATAGCTTTTTCAAAAAAATAAAATAAAGTTACAGTACATCTTTATGTAGTTTTAAATATATTGAACCCAAAAACTATATATTTAAAACCTTTATTTTAAGTGCTAGGTTAATTTTCCAACTAGAGAAGTTAGGTATTTAGACATCTGCAATGCGGTTCGATTTTTGATCATCTACTTTCATATTGAATATGGCTTGACCAAAGCAAAAATTCAAGACTGAAATAATTGCTTATATTAAAATAAAATTGTACGTGTAAGTTCAGTAGTAACTTTAACTATCCATCCTTTCTTCTCATTGGCGTTTGACTATTTTTTTTTCTTTCTATCTTTCTAATGTATCATAAGCTTCTTTATGTGAAACAAGTTTATGAGATAACTCCAACGAAGAATCAAAAAAACTTTGTTGTAAAACTTTTCATAATCGTATTAATAGAAGTATCAATTCTTTAAATACTTTCATCTTATCTAAGTACCGTTTTATTTTTATTTTTATTTTCACAACTTATAAATGTTTTTTGTTGAATTTATATTGCATTTAATTATCTAAGTCTCATTTAGTGAAATGAAAAGAGAAGGAAATATCCTTACAAGTTTAGTCACCCTGGAAAGATATCAAGCTCTAAGAGTTCATTGAAGAAGTCGAATAATTTTGAATAGTACCAGGGTTTTATGGATCTTTTCCCTTAATTTCACCCTATGATTACCTAATTTTATTTAGTAGATAAGAATTACTAAAGAAAATTTACTGATATACAATTCAACCTTTTATATTCACCGATGAGATTTGAATTCTACCATTTGTTGATGTATAAATAAATTTACTTATAGGTATGTATGATAAAATTGAAGATGTTGTGCCTGACATGTACATTAAAATATAAAAAGTGATGCTTAAATATTACATAAAAGAGCAATTAACCTTCAGAAGATAATTATACCAAGACACAATTAATATTGTTATTGCTGAAGAATATGGAGATCATAAAGTTAGTCAAACTATATCTCTTTCGATATCGTCTATTGGAGCAATCAATTTTAAAAAGCGAGATATATCGAAGTATAAGTGATACCATAATACCTAGCTAGAAGAATAGAAATGAGAGATAGAGTCGGTCGAGGAGAACAATTTTGACTTTAATCATAAAAGATTTTAATTAAGATTACACTATGCTAGCTTTTGGTGCATTTAACTTTGTAATTTATAATTAAATAAAATATTTTTCAAATATATATATGCATTAGTTATTTAGTATATGATACTATTCTATAAAAAAAATAACGTAATACACGTGCAACGCACGTGCAGAGAGACTAGTAGGCATAAAAATGTGAAGACTTACTATTGTAAAATAGTGCATTGGATGGACGTAAAGTATGAGAATACATCCATAAGCTATTCAACTACATGGGCAGCCATATCTACAAACTATTCATAATAATTTTTGAGTTTTCTTGTAACAACCGGTTGCTCGTATTGTGTAATTACGCCCTGTTTTCCCTTTTTATGCTTCACACATGTGTGTTTATGATTTTATGACTTGTGGTGTCGGTTAGTTTCGTTCTGAGAAGCTTTTGGGTTGATTCGCACCCTTGATTCTTGACTTGGAGATTTAAATTAGAAAACGTTGACCAAACTTTGACTTTTGTGAAAACGAACCCGGAACTGTATTTTTATGGCTCCG